TGGCAATAATGGAGGTGAGAACTTCATAAATTGTAGGTACATACGTAATATAATTCTCGGGTCAAGACGCATTTCCATCTTTCGGTGACATGAATGTCACAACCACGGTACAAAATTCTGGCAGCGTAGATGTCCCTTGCAAAATGTTTTGAAATTGACTCTCCAATATACTATGTGTGCATGTCAGATATTTCCACAAAATTATGTGTTCCATCTAGTCCTGGAGCTTTCCAATTACTGTTCTCTTTATACATATTTTTACATCCTCTGTTAATATCACAACACCATTCATTTCCGGGGTATTGTGATAAGCATCCTCTTCCTGTCGTATCCAGTATGCTTCATCGAAATGTTGCTTTGGGGTGGACCAAATCTGAGGCCAAAAGTCCGTCATGGCAGAAGCACTTGGAGGGGTTTATGTCATCTCGTCTCTAGATATCTATAAAATCCTTTTTGGTTGTTAGAGAACAGGGAATTTTCTTTGCGTCGCCCGGATCCATTATACCTTCTTATTCTTTGTCTTAATCATTCATCTTCGACCTTGAGTATATTTTCCGGGTCTTTTTTGTTCTTTTTATCTTTATTCTTCTGAAAATTGAGCGTCACCAGAATCTTCTTTGAAATCCTTCCTTTGTCTCTAAAATACTCAGAAATGTGCGAGATATCTCGTCTAGCTTGGACAATTTGATTTTCATTTTTTTAATCATGCCGGTGGCTTTTATCTTTCATAAGGTTTCTTATCAAGAGAAGTACCATTTTTCACCCGTATTTTGTAACTTAGGTGTTAACAGGTAGCAATTGCAGCACAGTGAACTAATCCAGTTACATCTTCATGAGAAGAGGCTTCTGAGATGTTTGGGGCAATAATTTGGTTCATTTTGCCAACAATCTCGTAGGCGCGCATTTCAATTTTGGTATTTTTGGTCAGATCTAATGATATTCCTTTGTAGTGAAGCTTTGTTACCTCATAAATATCTTTAAGTGATTGGATCACCATTTCGTTATCAAGATGGGGGATGGAATCCACAACGTGTTGTTCGTTCTCATGTACTCTTTGTTCATGTTCATTTGTATTCACTTGCTGCTCCAAGAGTACCTCACTTGTTAGTTCTGGTCTCACTTCCGTCTTGAGAAGATTTAGCTCTGCATCTGAAAAAAATTTTCTTCTCCTGATGGAGTTCAGTTGGATGCACAAACTTTGCTCATTTAGTGTGCTTTCCGGATATATCTTTCTCCACTCAGGAGCCTTCTCCTGAAGCCCTTACATTCCGTCTCGTTTTTTGTGCTTCTATAGTATTCACGCATAACAGACTATTTAATTATCTTATCCGATGCATGCGTTGACTTGGATTCCCTGAAGCAGTGGAGGATCCCTTTGGGTTCCTCAAATTTCTACCAGATACTGCATTTTACTGCACCTCGATAGCGAGATTTGCTGTAGACCTTTATGGAGAGGCGCCGCGCCCCGAAGTTCATCGCTTTCCACCGGCACAGGTAACACATTTCTCACAGCTGCCCCGGTGCTTGAATCAGCTGCGCGGCCTTGCGAGGGCCGGTCGCCAGAGTGACTTTTCCTTACAGCACTACTACCGTTATGAGTCTTGAATGGGAAAATTGGAAAATTTGAACATTGCTGCAGCTTATGACCTGATGCACGCGTCCTCTGCCGTCCCAAAGTGCCAGCCACAGTTGTGTCGACTGGCGACGAAGATATGCGATTGCCAAATTACCTCAAGAGCAGGTACTCGCACAGATGGGCTTCGAGATAAAATCAAAAGATCTCTTTATTTTATAACATAATATCTTTATAAAATAAAGATCTCTTTATTTTATTAACGTAACTTTCGTCACCTACCCAAGCCACTTTGTCATCCCTGTCAACTTCATCCAGCTTTAGTTCCACGTCTGTGGAAAGTGTACTGTTCTTTCTTCGAAGTGAATCCAGAATTTCGGATGAAGTTAATATTAATCTGCTAATTCTGAATTTAGCCAAATTTGCACTTTATCCGTGTCATATACAATTTTTTACTTAATCCTTTAGCGCGTATGGTACATATGTATCTCTCTATTTTTCATTCCATAAAGCAGCTTTATAAATACTCATTGAATTTGTTATTATAAATGCTTTATAAATGCACATTGTTGTTTTAAACGTTTCCAACTAATATTTTGGATATCTTTGAGTCAGTAAATATCATTACTTTGTTGTAGATCGTTGTGATATATTGGAAGTCATGCACACAAACTTATAGAAACACATTGTTATGGAGATATTTTTCAATCTTTGATAATTGCAGGTATTTCTAAGATGTTTACTACTGATTACATCGATATCATTTCACTGTATATTGATTGTTTCGTTGCAATATTTAGTTTTTGAGACTCCGGTGTCCCTCTGAGCATCAAGGGTTGATACATCCATTTTAATTTTTACATACAGGTACTCTTACATTTTCGCCACCTACATTTTACTACAGTTATATTTTTACAAACCTTTGCAAGGGATTCAGATTGTTTTAAAATAATCGGAACAAAAGTACCTGGATTTTTTAGTCAATGACTATGAGAAGATGTAAATTTTTGATGCGTGCAGGGAGCGGATCCAGAGACGAGATTTGGGAGGGGAAATTCATTTTTTCGTCAAATTTGTATATTACAGATTTTGTAACACGTCGCAGTCTACACTCCGCTCATGCTGCGATAATATTTTATTTGTTTTAATAACAATCCGAAAATATTTTTTTCTTAAAAGCTTCGTGACAAGTTAAAATTGAGGGTGACAGCGCAATAGTGGCCTATCCCACATTTTTAGGAAATTGCGTTCTCTGTGTTAATCACATCTTAATCTCCCTAACTTCAACGTATAACAGTTTCAGCATGTTCGCGTCGATAGTTTTCAAGTTATAATTTCAAAAAGAACTATTTCACTCAGCTTACGATTACATTTCTTTGTGCAATTGTGGCCTAAGCATAGGCAATGCTGTTTTACACAAGATGTAATCCACCACAAATGTTTAGTCTGGTCATTCTTACATAATATGAAAACACTTACAAATGAGGGTTTAATTTTGGCAATAACTTCATCAGCCATTTTCTCCAAACACAGGATCTGGGGATAGGCCACTATTGCGCTGACACCCTCAATTAATAGTAGCTGAAAAATTTTAGGGGCGGGGGAAAATTTCCCTCACCCTTGGATCCGCGCCTGAGTAAGGACGAACATAATCTTATTTTCGTTGAAAAAATGTTTTCGTGGATGACATTAACAATGAAGTCTCTGAAATTGTATATTATAGTCTGAAAAAAATTAATTCTATGGTTATTATAGACAGAAAGAACCAAACAATTACTAAAATCTGTTGAGTCCAGGAATAGCAAATTTTCTCACAGCTTTCCTTATATGTACACAATGTGGACTATCACAGGTGTTTATTGATACCAAATAATCATGAATTTGGAAAGGACGTAAAGCATGACGCAAATTTAGGTACTTGACAAATTGCAAAAATTTATTGATATTCTCATTAACAGTGAACTGGCCTGTTTCTGCTAAGGTACTTCAGGGCATCAACTGATGTCACTGCAGTACCTCTGACTGGTGCATAGCTGGGTCGATTTCAGCTGCTGTCTAGAGGTGAATTCTAGTGGCCGCCTGTTCTGATCAGTAGTTTTCTGTGGTTTCTCCGATCAACACTAAGTAAATTCCACAGCAGTAACCTAACAAACGAGCTAAAGACCACAATATTTCCTGCCTCTTCCGTGTCCTTTGTTCACCCCATACTTGTGCACACATTTACATGATTTTCTCTAAAATTCATATTCCCCAATTGGAAAGAACTTGAGGATCTGTGACACTGAAATGTATATTTCAATTTTTTGAGGGGAACTTTTAATACCTCAACATTTTCTCAAAAACTACTCCATATCTTTTTTATTCAACCTTTTCCTTGGATAGCATAAAGGTCATTTGGTGGTCTCTCTCTTTTTTTTTTAATTTTTAAAAATTGCAAAAGTTCAAAATTCTATAACAATATTTATGAGGCCTTTTCCTTCATGAGATCTGTTGTTCAAAGGTCTTGAAAAATGGTCTTGTACAATTTCTCGAAAATATTAGTAGTTTTCCCTGAGTTTTCCTTGCAAATGTAGGCATTTTTAAACTATTTCAAAAATCCTAACTTTTTCTTCAAACTTTTTCCTTGGCTTTGCTCTGACACTTGACTCTCAAGCTAGCTGGCTCTAAAAATAATGGCACATCCCATTCCCGGCTAACACTTTGTATTTTCAAAAATTGTAATAAAAAATTAACACAGTCAAATGGCATTAATGATGGTGTTTTCCCTTAATGAAATATATCTTAAAATTCTATTTTGAAATATTGTCAACGAAAATTTCTGGAAATTGCAAATGCAAATGTTCAACATTTTTTATGCAACACAAAGGTTGACTTTAGCTGTGAGGCTGAAGATTTAGATGTAACTTGACTGGCTTGTTAATTTTAAGGACCTCAGTTTGAATCCCAATGTGGAGAAAATGATTTGCTGGTTGGAAACACTTATAGTATTATAATAGTGTTGCCATTACAAATAATGCAAGGCAGTCTGTGCTGTTGTAGCACCACTAGTTCTTTATGAGGCAATCTTCATCACAATTACTTTCAATAAATGCAAGTCTACTGCACTGTGTGCTTCAAAATAAGTGCAAATCAGTAAAAGAAATTTTTAAAAAAGTGGTTATTTGAGAATAATACTAAATACCAAGTTTCTATAGCAGCACTAATCTAAATAAAAACTTGTAAAATTAGAAAAAGTTCTCAAAAAATACTCCACCAGCACTGTTACGAAATAGGCGGAAATCTGATGTTAGAACATACAAAACAACAAATGTTAGAACAAAGAGAAAGGGAAGTTAAAATGGTGCTTAAGAAAAAAGGTAGGTTTTAGTTAAGGAGCCAGGAGATGACAGGAAACTAGAATAAAACTTAAAGAAACTTGAATTAATAAGGCACATACTACATTACTATACAAATCAAGACTACTTTTTTCTTTTCATTTTTGAAAAATGACAGTTCGGAAGAGGCAGTATGAAAATATCATTTTCAAATAGGGGCTTATCTTTTGAGTTGAACAAGTGACAAAATAACATTTGATTAACTCGAGTTTTATATATTGCAACAACATATAATACACAGGTGCACAAAAAGTACATCATACAACACTCAGTATTCCAAAATAAGTACCATTATTTGAACCACTAATGTCTACACCTCCCCCTCCTTTAGTGTCATATTCTACAGCTTCTTTTAAATATACAAATTCTCCCAGTTATTATAAGCAAGAGGGTTTTTAATCAACATAGATACCAGCATGGAGTATTTATTGGTCAGGGAGAATGACAAAATATTTAAGTAACTTAATATTTCTCAGCAGGAATCTTCTAAAAATAAATGAATGATAAAATAATGAATAACAGTGATTTCACCTTTTATCAGAATTAAGAATTTCTACAATCACAGTACCATATAATTAAAACAAAAGAGCAATCATAAAATAGGATACTTTTTGACAATGCATTCAATTATAATTACAACAATTTGTTTCAAATAGCCATTTTTTAATTCACTCAAAATATAAGAGTTAGTATTCTTTCTGGTTTTGAAAAATGACAAATGTTTCAATAAAATAGTTTATTTAACATATTCTCAATACATATCCAACAGCACACTTTAATTTTAATTTAACATGTTTTCAAAATATTGACAATGTATTAAAGAATATTGATACAAGAAAACCATGATATTCACGGCAACGAAGACGAAATTTTATGTTTATTAATTAGCTGCAGTATGTCTGAAAAATCTCTTCTTGTAGTCAAATGCAATACTTCTGAGTTTTCTAATTCCAAATACAATATTTTCTGAACAACACAAATTCAAACATAGAAGCATGACAAAATACACCTTACTGTCAGTCTATCTGCCCACTCTTTCTGAACACCCGCACCTCTGAATTAAGATTGAAGACCGTAATGAGGTAGACAGGGCCTTTCACAATACTGTTACTTATTTTGATTTCAATTGCTTCATTCCTTTGGTGAAGTGAACAGCACTATATACATTACAATGATTGAGATAATTCCATTCTCAAAATTCCTATTTGCTTTTGATTTACATTTTTGGACATTCCCCATTCAAACATGATGTGTGTCCAAGACTAATGAAACAGTAAATTACTTGTCTTGCAGAATTATGTACATCATTCTTCTTTCAATACACCTTTCATCCAAAAATTTATTTGCGACTGATACTTTTTATTCAAGATAGGAATCTAGAAAGTTATATTACCAAACTACCAGTCATATAAAATACAATCCATGAAATACAAGCTTGGTCATACCTTGAAATTAAGTTGCGAGTTAATTGTATACAACCAGATATCACTGCCATACATGTGGGAAAGCTATTAATGAATTCTATAATTACATGCATGAAATTATATAAATTACAGTATTAACTTAAGCTTGAACAAAAACAAAAATACTATCTTATAGGTCCTTTAGTTTCAGTCTCCAAAAAAATTTGTCTTTTTAGGCAAAACCAAAGCCTTCTGAACATTCATGAATTGCCTTTAATAGATAAGTGCGAAGCTTGTCATATGTCTCGTACACAGGAAGGTCCAACTGATTGAAGCTGGAACAAATAATTTTTATTTTATTAGCATTTCACCTTGTAACTATTCTATAGTGTGTTTCAAATAATTATTTGAAGAAATAATCATTAAAATAAGGGTAAATGAAATAGTTTCTCGTAATGACTCCCATCACTTACCACGTGTGGGCTGAGGGAAGTCTGTCTGTAGACCTATCATCACGGTGAATTTGGAATTTCTGCACACCATTCATGCCTTCCAAAGCAGCAAATCCTTGAAGAGGCACTTTTGATGTCCCAGTCACGAACTGAAGGAACTTTGCACGATCTGCTTGATCAAACCCACGCAGAGCTCTCCAAAACCATTGAATCTGAATTATAGAAACCTCAATCATTATTTGATTATTGATTGACTACTTAAATGTTTACATGCAATAGTAATAAAAGATAATACCACTTATGAATTAAAAACCATTTACATCTAGAACATTACCTGTAAAGAATTTGGCTGATATTTGTGATATTCTGTATTTGCTTTCAAATCTTCAATATCTACATTTGGCATTCCAGAGATTAACAACTCTAATTCCTGTTCATTAAATATTGAGATCAAACGTTTAGGAATTATATCATAAAAACCTTCTAGGAAAGCATTTATTCTGAAAAAGAAATCAATAAAGAGTATTATTCCATTTTATGGAATTAGTAACAGATAAAATGACTTATCAACACATACTATTTACAAGTTTACATCTAGAGAGCTATGAATGAAATAACATGGGGAAATAGAAACAATTAGCAATACTAAACAGCAAATAAACTTTTTGACTTATTTTTATTCTTGAGCTCTACCTGCTGCACAGATAACCACATCAATACACAATGTAACAGAGATGAAAAGTCCAAGTCATTATCAATAATTCAAGTCATCCAGATCATGAAATTCAATAACATTAATGCAAATAACATCTGTGTGATGTGGTCAGTCATTCCTTGTCAATTTTGTAGAGCTGATATAAAATAGCCAAGAATTCTGCTATTAATTTCATAATACCGGCTTCCTCAACAGAAATAATATAATTTTTATTCATCACTGGCATGTTAGCTCATGGAGCAGTCTGCCATACAGATGCAATACAACACTGGGCAGCAGTGAGCTTCTCTGACAATAGATCGGCTGCCCAAGAGACGTTAAATTCTAGGCACAATTGGTGAAGTTTCGGCCGACATATTGAAACCTTCAAGACAAAATGCACACAGGTGGACTGTGCACAGGTTTATAAAGAATGACGTTCCCTCGACCCAGCTTTTGGATGATCGGCCAAAGGAGATAAATCATCGGCCTATCATGCAAAGGTCTCCCAAGGCAGGATAGGAAAAGGAAACGGTCTGTGGTCGAACATCAAGAAACAGCAGGAAAAGCACCAGGGTGATGCAATAAATAGATGTTTGACGATTTTCATTGGCTCTTTTACCCTCCTCGGTCTCCAGGAGGCCAAGGAGGACCATTCCCTGATTGGCTAACTGAAAGCTGGGCGGAGGGGAATCTCATTCTTTATAATCCCCTCCGCAGTCCACTTCTACAAAATACTGAAAAATATCACAGAATGACGACTGAATCATTGGTAACTGTGCCTAGAACACGTCTGTCAACTAGCCAAGTATCTACTGTTACTTTTTATTTTCTTTCTTTGAAAATAGAGCGTTTGATGAAACACTGGACCTTCAACACTTTTATAACCGTTCTTTCTGTCCATAACCATCTGTGGAGAACAGATTTTATACCAGAAAAAGTATATTTTCAATACAGTGTATGTAAGAAGACATTAAAAAAATGAACTTATGCAATTTATGAAAATTCAGAGTTCAACAAAACCTACACCATTTTTTCAACCCGCACCTTCTTTAAGCATCCTTTGCTCATCCCAAGGAAAAAAATTAATCAAAATTGGAATTATCAGAATGGTTTAGATGCTGGCCTTCTCCACAGAAAGAAATACAGACACTCAGACGTTTCGTCATCATTTAATTTTTCCACATCATGGACCCACAAAACATGCATTCTGACTAGGTATTGGAGGAAGTAATTTACTACAACTAGGAACAAGATTTATTCACTTTCCCATTCAAACAGCTCTGCAAAACAAGTTCTTCTGTCAAAAGTCTCTGATTTCTGTTGCAGTATTACAGATCTTTTAATTCACTATATAAGTACTTAGCAGGAGTAAAAAAACATTGGGCTATAGCAAAATGTCTACTCATGTGTGGGCATTTCTGCCTGCCATTTAACTAGACACCATATTATAGGTAGTAATTTACTGCATATAAAAGCAAGATGTATTTTCTTTTTCGATGTTAGGGACCCATAATATGAGTTTTACTGAACCAAAATCACAATACTCTCTCTCTACTATGCAAGTACATAATGGAGAAGAATGTACAAATTAACAATATGGTTAAATTCTAATACTATTTTTAATGCAATGCATCTCAAGGAATAAAAATATTAACTCGATGGTTTGAATACAGTTGTCAAAGCGTTGCTACAAAGAAAATCCAAATACGAAAATATGTCATATTACATTATTAAACTCTGAATGTATAATATAAATAACTTACTGTTTCCTGATGGCACCAGTCATCTTCATCTGGCACACAAGACGAATGTAATCCATCTTGTTGCTCTCAGTCACAGGAATATTACGACCATTAGGTATTAAATCTCTCACGTCAGTGACTCCAAATTCTTGAACCTACATAATTTTAATGAAGAGCATAAACAAATTTTGTGTTAAGAAAGGATGGCCTCATAAATGTTAATACATATACACACAGCATATCATGTAACTTTGAATCACCTTGACCAAAAAATGTATGAGATTTTATTGTCTCACAGTATTCAGACATGTAAAAAGTAAGCTGTAGAACTTTGGACAAATGTAACTTTTATTATCATGAACAAATCCCAAAAGCAGTAATTTTTTGAGAAATTCATCATTTAGTTAAGTTACCTGAAGGTTTTTTATATGTACATCCAGTAATGTCAATAATCTGAACCATTTTCAATAATTAAAAATCTGAACTATTAATAACCTGGATTTGATTCCAACTAGAAAAACAAGCACACACAGGCTTAAAAAAAATACGGTATGAACATGCACATGCACTGCACCAGGAAAGTCCCTCCACACCGAGGCGAGTCAGAGCCTCCTATTAAAAATTGCACTTCAGTTGGTAGCAACCAGATCACTGGAAAACAAGCACTTCCAGCGTCTGTTATGACTGTGCTGAGTATGCAAATTACATTTTCATTTGTTACAAGCTGCAGCACATGCTACCAACATCATTTCTGTTGCTAGCACTATTACCAGAAAGATGCCACTGCAGAGAGACTTTCCTGGTGCAATGTATTTGTTGAAAAGTGTCGACAGAACAGTCTGTGCATGAAATACTGTACAGTGTAGTATTTTTTGCTGTAATTAAAAATGTAAAAAGTAACAAAACAAATGTCTTTATTTATCCGGCTCCCTTCTGTAATCATCTAAGTGTACTATGAACAACTTTAGCAAGTGTGTGCGAGTTTTTTCTTTTCCTTTTTTCTTTATTGAAGAGGCCCTTTTATTGGTTCATTTTAATAAACAGGAAGGAGTCCAGTGCCAATTAATCTGGATTATTAAAAGTACTAATCTATTACCGAAGTATTCAAGAAAGAAGGCATGAACATGCTTTTAGTTGCTTCTACAACATTACATACAGACGATAGAAAACTCATCACTCACCTCTGCACTGAATGTAAGATCATAACCTAAATCACTGACATGATGCTCCATAAGATACACAAGTCCCTGATAGAAACTGTAGTCTTCACTCTCCATATCAGTGTGCTTAACATGAATGCCCAATATATGCTTATAAAAGGACCGTGTAAAATAACACTCCAATAACTTGTTATCATAAATAGCTTTGGCTGAAATGAGAAAGGAGATCTTTAAACTTCTGGCCATAGTGGTTTATAAAAGTAAGTGGCTTAGGAAGATACTAAAGCAACAACTGTCCATGGACTTAATAAAAAATGTTTGTAGAATGCATTCCTAAGTCAGATATGAATTACTTCATTTTAATTAATGGTACAGCGATGAACATTTAACAACATAATTAAACTTGAATTAGGCATAGCCTGCTCAAACACTCGTACCAAATATCTAATATTACAAAAATTAATAACTAAATACTATGAAAATGAGAACTGTATTGTCTAGTCAGTATTAAACCGACAGGGTACTGTATGAAAATACATTTATAGTCTGATTTGGTAAAACCAGACTCATTTTCTGAGATATACAGGAATGGACTGTTTTGACAGCTAGTTCTAGAGCGCTGGAGTAATCAGTTACATTTTTATGAATTTGGAGTAATCTTCCTTTACTCTTTATCAGTCCTTAGTCTTGTTAGTCCGTACGTCATTGTCCAGAGGATAGGTAGGTAATATCTCCGCGTACCTGCCTCCCACATGCGCTCCTGCCTCACTACCTAGGGGCCAGATTTAGGAAGGATATAGGACACTTCACAGGGACTGGGCTAGCCCCTGAGAAGCAGGTTAACTCGTTTTGTTGGAACAAATTTCACATGAGATTTAATTACATGGTTGTGAATAATGTTCATTTAATAACACAGTTGTGAACCATGAGAAGCTACGTGTCTAAATGGGAGCCATATACAAACAAATGCTTTACAGAGGCGTGGCTGTACAGCTGTCGCTGTGGAGGGATACTTCTCTGAATTACATGCGATGTTCACTTGTTTGGCGCTGTCATTTTGGCTCATTCTGAGGTGGATTCTTCTATACTAGCTATCCTTTTATCATGTAAAATTACAAAATTTTAAAATGGTAAGTAATTGAAAATTTTATACAGGGTATTGAGGAGGAACAAAACTGTTAAGAGATATTATCAATTCTATCAATATACACATATTAGATCAATTTGTACGATTCTTTACAACCCTATATCCAACTTATTAGCAAGGCATTTCACATTTTTAGTCCTTTGAGTTACAGGATTACCAGATAACAATGTAAAAATTTGAATTATATGTACAATATAATAATACTTGCCTATGACTCTTCCGACAAATTTGAAGTAGCACAGATGATTAGGATTGCAGTGAGATGATTGATTTATCATGTATGTAACTCTGTCACCAGGTGATGTTGTAAATAATGCATACATTGGATTAAATATCTCCCTGGATATAATGACATACCACTCTCTTAATAGACCTCCAGCATCTTGGCCTTCCTCTCCTAAACAAACATTTAAGAAATTCATAAAATAAATATAAAAAAGAATGCAGGATAATCAGTGAAGTGTAATTCATTATATTTTGCATTTCCAACCTTCAAACACAATATAAAATCGGTTTTTCCACTCATCAATGGTTCGTCGGTGAAGTTCTCTAAAAGAATCTTCAAAAACATGACTTCTTCTCACATGAACTGCCAACTCTTCCCGTCTTATCCCTTCATCCATTCTCTCCAATTCTGACCGGAAGTACTTCCTTTTCACATCAAAATCTAGCACACGTGTATGATCCACCAAAACAGCAAAAGGACCATCAGCTAAATGAGTAGAGGCCTGTCTCAAAATTTGATTGAGGACTGCACGATGTTTTTCTGTAGGAATGTAAAAAAGAAGAAAAAACTATCTAAGTAAGGGTTTCAAATTGTATTATTCATCCCACACTTTGCTTAGAGACATACCTGCAAATTTTAAAAATTTTTGCTGGTCAGGATTAAGAGTAACAGGTGGACTACTTTGTTCCCAAGTTGAACTTTGGAATACAGGAGACTGCTGTGCATTATTTCCTGCACTTCCATCAGCATCCGGTTGGAGTGGAGAGACTGGGGCTAATGGAGCTGAATAAGAGAATGTGGATGTTGAAGTTAAAGTAGCAGTATTTGGACTTGAACTAGAATTCTGAGAACTAGGAGGACTATGCTCTGCAGGACTACGTTCTGGAGGATTAGAATAATCATCATCAAGAACAATATTATTAACAGGAGCTGGACTATTAACAGGAGAAAAAGAAGGAGAAGAGTGATTCAAAATCTGAACAGGATCAAAGTCATCAGCATCATTAGGATCAAGATCACTTTCATCAATGCGATGATGTTCATGAATCTCATCAGAGAGAAAGGAAGATGAACGACCTTCAGGGTATGTTCCATGAGCGGCACCCAGGGAAGGATCTAGCCGTCCTTCATAAACAGATCTCTGCTCTTCTCCTGTTGTTGAATGTACCAAGAAAAATGCTTCAACAGTCGGCTAAAACAATGAGAAAAGAAAAAAAGTTACCAAAATGATGAGGTACGAAAACTAAGATAAGAAGGGAAAGAAAATAAAAAGTTAATGAAAATTTATTCACACAGAATTGATATAAGAAAATTTGAGAATGCAAATGCTGAACATTTGTTAAAAATTCAGTCAACAAAAGAAACAAAGATAATTTGATGCATTCTGTACACCTATCAAATTAACTGACAAAAACATAAGAACTAGCAAATCAAATGTCAGCATACCTGTAAAGACATAACGGCATGGTGATTATCAGGAGTTTCTGCCAATTTAGTGAGGACAGAACTTAGAGTATCCCACAGGTGATCAATTTGTTCCAATTCCTGACTTAATGGTGGAAGCACAGGTTCCTCGTCTTTTGTTTTCACTGCTGTGGCGGCTGTAGTTGCTGCTGTTGTAGTGGCAGTGGTGGTTGTCAATGATGAGGTAGTTGTCTGAGACACTGCTGTTGCTGCGGCTGTTGCTGGGGTGGTTGTTGCCGTTGTCATTGCATTTGTGGTTGTTGCAGTTGCTGCTGTTGTTGTTGTCGTTGTCGTCAAGGTTGTTGATGTTGTTGATGTCGCTGTTCCTCCTGCTGTGTTGTCTGCGAAGAAAATATTGAAACAATACTCCAATGATTGTATTATGTAAATGAAGTTTCATACAACTAAACAATTCAAATTTTCACTTGAACTAATCAGCAATGTCAAAGACATTAAATATCATATTAAACGTAAGTGCATTTTTATTCTGCAATTCACTTTCATCGCTTTATGATGAATGCTCATTCTTAAAAATACAAAAAGTTTGATGACCAACAAACATTCCAAAATTTAATAGTTTGGCAATACAACATTGGCCAGAGAATCCTGCAAGCAGGATCTTGAAATGTAATTATGTATATAACTACACAGGGAAACGATGAAATTTGTCATGATCTGAAAACATACCAATTTTATGAAGTAATGCATGTGTGATGAATGTCTCAAACAAGATTTGGATGTTTTCTTTTAAGAATTATACAGAAACAGATAATAAGGAAGAGTCCGTTTAAAGAGATGCAACAAATGTAGACATGAAGGAAAAACAATGAATTGTTTTATGGTAATTGTTATTTAATAAGAAGACACAGAAAATAAGACATGAAGAGCGTTTAATACAACACAATTGGGTTCTGGATGCCTTGAAGTCTGTTCTATTTAGTACCACAAGAACTGCAGTGCGATATTTTGCATGGATTTTCAGAACTGAATATCTTGAGTCTAACGAAGATCTGTGAAAGATCAAGTACAACTGTCATTTTGTTCAAAGAACGTTTTCCATAAGTCTGATTTGAAAATGGAAGTAACATGATGCAGGTCTTGCAAAAGAGACTTCAAACATGTTGAAACAACATTTCTACCAAACAGGTCTGATAGAATTTTGAGATAATGACAAGGTAGATTTTAATTTTATCAAAAAGTTCATTTTAAAAATTCATAGGCAACATTTTCACCAGAAACATATCCCAAGACTAAAAACAGATTTACCAGAAATTTCTCAGGCACTTCTAATTGAGAAAATCTTTTTTTTTATTTTTTATTTTTATTGACAATATTTCATGCAACATTATACGAAAACTATTCACATTTTCAAAAACTTTTACATGACCATATTTCAAGATGTCTTTGAAGAGACTGCATTCTGGCAGCCAGCACAACTATGCTGTCTCTTGAAGATTGAGATAACTGGCATCAGGCTTTGTTTCTGTAACCTTTCTTTTATAACCTAGCTATGCCTTTGCTAGTACAGCAAATTGGATCTGTCAGGTAAAAAACATGTGTCATGGAACCCTTTGCTTCAAATCATTAGGTGATCATTCTGACATAAAATTTTTTAGACCAATTCCAAATTTGAGTGTATAACTGAAATTATTCAAATCAATAATAGTTAACCCATCGATGCACTTAAGGAGCATCTGAGGGCCTGAATCCTTTTTTATTGCTTTAATTCTATTGTGTTTTGTTACTGGCTAATAATATTTTGTGACATCTTAAAACAATCACTTTTCTTACTAATAGCAACAGGAGAGTAAATGAAAACTTATCAGTTTTTAGGAATCCCCTTATTGTTCTATGTCAGTGTTGAATATATATATCTACGAGGGAAAATGTACAGAGTTCGGCAATGGACTATGACAGAAAAATCGAAACATAGAATCAAGAATTAAAAATCCCAATACACACAAAAGAACTGCCTAACTGTTCCACAAAACTAACTGGGAATCCACAAAACTGTAGCTACAGGAGCCAGCAATAGAATTTCCGTAAAAACAAACAAACAAACAAACAAACAAACGGGAAAGGTTAACAATTTTTCAAATTAAATTAAATATAAAAAAAAATCTTTATTTATTATTGTTTATGTACAATTTTGAATTCTTATTTATGACCGCACAAAATGGGCAGAGAGAGTAAGTGTGCTTGAACAAAATGTGTAAGAAAAAAATTGGAAAATATTTAATTAGTTGCAATAACAGCAAATAAAAGTTACACCATAATCAAAGTCTTGCTGTTGTATATACTATACAAAGAAATAAAATACACTTAGGCCTCAAGATATGGATGTTGGTGTGTGCTTGTCTTGACCATGTGTGTAAAGAATCAAAGTCATTGCTATATAACCTAGTAGTTAACAAGCAACCTAAGAAAAAGAAAAAAAACTTAAATTTTAGTAATTATTATTACACTTTTCAAGTCAAACCTTGTAATTTACGGAGGGCCTGAGAGGGGTAAGTGTTCAAGTGTAATATTCTTCTTCGGTACATCAACGAGTAATAAAATAACGTATGTGACTAAAGCTTTCCTAATGAATGCGCAACATGGCTTTAGGACAGAAAGATTAACCTCATTTATTACGTTTTCAACATTACGTCCCTGAGAAACTTGAATAAAATTCTCAGGTCGATACCGTATAAAGTGGAACAATAAAGTGATAACACCCCTTGTATCTCCTCAACTGTGCAAGATACAAAGATGACGTTTCGACAGTCGATTGCATAAACTTTATTACATTTTACTTTCATCGTTGCACAATTTTTTACTACGAAGATATGAGGTCAACTTTGCTTTTCAAATGGAACCATATTCTAAATTTTAAAGCATCATAATGGGCTTAAAAAGACCATTACAAATGTATGTAAATCTTCATATTTAACCGAATTGTTTTCTAGAAAATGATGTGTTTTGTAAAGAATATTTCTATTGAAGCACGATTTTCTATTCAATCTTTTCTTCTAACTAAATGGGGAACTTTGCAAGTTTGTCCTTCAGACAAATGCACTCATTTATATGAGCACAGTAACAACAACTTTCTTCCATACTAATTTGGATGAAAGATGACTCTGCCCGATGAAGACACAAATGCTGCATATAGGATAGTTGTACGAGATGGTTGGTTACAAATAAATTATGGTTAATAAGATATTGTTCATTTATTTCTATGCTATTTACTTTAAATATATAACAGAATATGTTGAACTAGTTGTCAAAATAACACAATAGTATTTCAGTGACAAAATCAGAACTCTCTGGAAGCAGCATTTAAGTTTTCCTTGGATGAAGCAGCAAAATTATTTTTGAATAAAGTAGTAGTGACTGCATTCAAATAAATAAGAGCTTTTTGTCTTAAGGACAGACTTGGAAAGTTACCATTTAGTTAGAAGGAAAGGTCGAAAGGAAAATTGCCGCTTCCACGGAAATATACGTTACAAATACACATCAATTTCTAAGAAATGATTTGCTTAAATATGAAGATATACATATATTTAAAATAGTCTTTGTAAGCTCACTACGATGAACTACAAGTGTAGGGTTCCATTAAAAAACAAACTTCACCTTATATCTTTGTAGTGAAAATTAGTGCAAAGACGAAGAATGCTGAAATCAAGTAGCCCCTGTTTACACAATCGACTGTCCAAACGGAATCTTCATATTTTGACGGTTGAGGAAGTACAAGGTGTGTTATCACTTAGTGGTTCCACCTGTATACAGGTTTTACCGTGGCATTTGAGTTGATAAAGCATCAATCTGTTGTCCATAAATTATATAAGATTGGTATTCATGGATCCTTGCTGAATTAGCTTCAGAGTTATCTGACAAATCAGAAACAAAATGATAAGTATTAAAAACTACAAAAAGTTTCATGTGGAGTTTTTCAAAAACCTCATCTCAGCCCATTATTATGTTTAATATTCATAAATGACTTGAGTTCCTGCTTCTATTTACTCCATTTCATTTATTCGCCATATTTATCTGAAAATTTATGGTGAAATTAAAGCTGTAAAAGATAGTTATTTGTAACAAAATGCCTTAGATAAGCCAGCATCATGGTGTGAACAAAATTGTTTATATATAAACATTATCAAGTGTAGTATTATGACTTGCTTCAGATTAAAAGTGCCAATACTATGTTATAAATAATGAAAGGGCTATAACTACATTATAAATAATTGGAAAGTATTAAAATAATCAAAGGTTTAGGGGGTAATCTTCAATGAAAAACTAACATGGTATAATCGTGTAAACTATATAATGAACAAAGCTAGGAAATACTAGCACCACTAGTTTAGTTATGGAAATTTTTTTAGAGCCAATGCATTAAGAAATTACTTCAACTTTAAGAAAATATTCTTTTGAAACTATATCTTTGGTTATGTAGAAAGGATTTTAAAAATAGGAAGTTTATTACTTTATTTGTCAGCCTAAAAAGAATAATAGTATATTTGATCAACTTATACTCAATTAAACTGTCAAGTAATACATACCATTATTTTCTTGACGCCGCCGCCGAGACATTCTAACAGATTCACGTATCTGCACAATTACTCTTAACATACGAAGGAAGAATGCTTGCGTTGATGTTCTTTTTGTGAGGGAATTCAAGGAAGGCATGAAGACATCATAACAACCTTTCACTTTCACAGGAGCTGACACAACAACTGTTCCATTTGTGAATCTGTGAAAATTGCAAGCATGTAATTAAATTCAAAGTTAAAGAATGAATGCTATTTTAGAGGGCACACAAACAAACCTACCTATCAGGAACAATTCCTTTATTTAATTCTCCTGTTGTAGCATCCTGTTCTTCCCCATCATTAAAATTATCACCAGCATTATCAACATTTTCTTCTTTATTAACCTCTTCACCAACACCATTATTATAGTGATCATTATCTCCATTCTCACCATTGTCTTCATCGCAATACACATCAACTTCATCTCCAAAGCTATCAACATCACCAAAACCTGTTGTATCATCATTAGCATCAACATAATCGTAATCTCCATCCCCACTGTCTTCATTATCATTCTCATTCTCTTCTCCTTCACCCTCATAATCTTGCAAAGTATCATAATCTTCTTGTAGAGTTTCGTAATTTTCATCTTGCAAACCTGAATCATCATAGCTATTATACATTCTTTCTGATTCACAATTGTTTTCTTTCATTTCACTGCTATCACTCTGATTAGTGTCATGATTGTCACTACTTTCATATTCTTCATCAGAATCAGAAATCACATTTTCATCTGCATCATTATTATCTTTATCATCAAATGGATCTTGATCCCACCTTGAGTTAACATCGTCAAGTTCCATTTGCACTCCTCTTAACAACTGACTCACAAAATTGGCAGTGTTGATAGCACCATTTATCAAAACACCATAAATCTGTGCAAGGAAACAAATATTTCAATAAATAAATGTAGCATGCAAAATAGTAAATAACAATAAAAACAACAATAACTAGTAGGACCTATACAAAAAATTATGATCTTCATTTCAAAAGCGAATGCTGCAGACTGGAACCCCACTTCATGTGTTTTTGACAACCCATTCTGCAGAGTGGGGGTACTCTTCAAGGGAGTCTAATTTTGTGAATTACAACATAAGAAAGACAAGTTATGCCCCGTCTGAGCCAGAAACCCAGTTTTATATATCTATAACTCATCATTTCTAAGTCGTGTGCACCAGCAAAATGTGTTGCAAGCTGCAGCGGCGATGATGATTATGATAATAATAAATATACTATTAATATTAATAGTAATAATAATAATAATATAAATAATAATAATAATATTAATATTAGTATAGTAGTACACAGTATCTACCTCAGTTTCAACTTCACTGAATTGCTTTAAGGGTATCCAGAATAGTCTAAGGTAAACGTAACCTCTTTTACACTGTGAACATATTCTTGAATTTTTGTCAGCAATATGAAAACATTTTCAAGTCAATGTCATCATATCAATTTAGATTGTTATTACTTGTTCATTATACATTTGCAGATGGCAGAATTAGGAAACACTGTTGTTTTGAAAGCGAGGGCCTGAACACAGAGTGCACGAATTGTGTTGATGTCTAACAGCATCTGACCAATGCTAAAGCCAGCTGAGACAGTCTGGGAAAAAGTGCTCATTTTGTTTTTGTCATTTCCGTGATGTCCACTGAAAAATGGTATGCATGAGCAGGTTCTGACAGAAAATTAAAAAGTAATAATGTAGTCAACTATTGCCACAAGGAAAAGACAAATAGGTTATTACTACCATTAGAAAGACCTATGAACAGAGCTGCAGTATGATACACTTTGTCATCGACAATACACGCTATTTACAAAAGCCACAGAAAATATTTTTATTACTCCTTTGCACATATCTATTACACAATATTTATGTTTTTGCCCAATTCTACTTTGCCGTACCCCGGAATTAGCTAACCTGTATCCTGCCTAGTGTCATCTAAATCTTATCTAATCCCTCAGAATCTACTGTAGACGTGCGATTTTCATTCAGTCGGTGGTGACCTCACGTAAACATATTCCAGCGCTCCGACTGCAAATGTAAAGTGAACATGTAACACTTATTTATTTTGTTAATCAATAACACCCACTCGCAGATATGTTCATGAATTAGAATGAAGTAGGAATGGGGGTTTACACGGCTAGTGTGCTTTGCAGTGCAAAACTGATCATCAGTGAAAACAAGAGGACCTGAATTCTGATACACCCTAACCACTCAAATAATTACAAAAAAACGTAATACTAATAGAGGTAATACTAGTGAAGGCACAATCTTTTTTTTGATTTTTAAACAAGGCAAATGAAAATTTAATTTTTTTTCACAGAATCTCAAATTGATGAGAAATCAATTAGGTATTCTTATGTGAAAATAGGTTAACAAAAATATTTTTCTTTGCCATTGTTTAATTTTTCATTCAATGATGTGGAAAACATACTGAATAAACCGAATACTCAAAGTTCAATTTACAATTTTGAATTGAACAAAAACAAAGCAAACCATGAGCAAAGAGAAAAGGTGATGTAAAAGGAATAATGAAAGAAAAATTGGAAAACTAAAAGAAGAAAAGGAAAATAAGAAGAAATAACATAAGTTAAAAGTATTTCATGAAAGAATAAATGAAAAGGATGTTGCTTAAGAATAAATTAAAAGGAGGATCCTTTGAGTAACATTTGAAAAATGCATCTTCCTTGTAATTAACACATAAGTTAAGTGAATACAAAATGAGAATAGCCCCACAGAAGAAACCATTAAGATATAACATGCTAACGGAATAACACATTGAGGTGCATAGCAACACATCTTGAGTATTAAATATGGGATCAATAACATTTTAATACAATCAACAACTTACTATTTCCTTAGTTGGATCTGGACAATTAGACAAATTTAATAGAAGAGCAGTGGCATCTTCCAAGCCTTCTTCTGAGCATGTCTGGAGTTCTAATTGAGTCATAATTTTTCTAACATATTCTTTGGATACTGGTACACTTTCGTCTCTCTCTTCGGATTTTTTGCCTTCCGCATGTTCTCTGTGTCGTAAGTAAGGATTAATTTCAGGAAGACCAATAGATATAAGAGACAAAAGTCTCAACATTTTATCCACTAATGTTGGACCGTATCCTGGAAATTTCTGTAACATTTTCATTAATTGTCCAAATGGAGAAGACTCAAAGCTGTGAGTGTGATGTTCATCGTCGCACACTGGACCAGGAAGGCAATGCGAACGAGCAACACTTTTGCCTTTCTTTGAGTACGTCGTGGAATCCAACTTCAACAATATATCCCAAAAATTTGCCAAATCATTCCGACTAGATTTTGATCCTGATGGTCCAGCACTTGTTGATGCACGTGATTTACTGCCACCATCTTTACATGCATCCTTGTCATTGCCCTTACTTTTCAAAGGCAAAAAGTACCCTGGGAAAGTTTTTGCCAAGGAGATCAGAACTTCCAATGTATGTCTGTAAAAGACAAGATGGAAAACATAAGAACACATTAAAAAGTTCATCCATGAATGGAATTCATATCATTATAGATAAAGTAGCAAATTTAATGTTAGAAATTTAATGCAAGATCAACACATTACTGATTTTTAAAAGATATTCATAAATTAAAACCCAACTGACATACAAAAGATCCAACACACTCTTAATCTGATAAATTATTTTCCTGCATATACTTTAATCTGAAATTATCTTTTATTATTCTCTCAAATAATTTAAAATATGAGAGTTAAATATCTTAACAAACCTGATTATCACAGGAGCCGCACGTTTATGAACTGTAATTCCAGTCGTTTCCAAAGATCTGTTTCCACGTTTTCCAGCTTGATGTCCAATGTTAAACACTCTTGCACGTAACCCTAAAGCTGTGTCCATTTTCACATTTAACCATTGGGGTGTAGAGAAGAAATTATATTGAGGCTTTCTGCGGCCATCTCGTTTAGGTTCAGTGCACAGATCTAAAATTGATAGCAGAGCCTGAAAAGAAAAATTGAAGATTTAATTTGTTATTTACATTTTTCACTTGATTCAATTAATAAAACATTACTTTCAAATTATAATTGTTTAAATGTGTTTAAGCACAAAACAATTTATAGTAAAGGCAACAGTGAGAAATTGGACAGCCCTCAGAAGGTATCTCTATTCCACTGCTTGCCTACCACCAAACTTCTCTTCTCCAACCACCGTTATGCAATTTGCTGAACTGTCAAATGCTATCATTAATGAGCATATTTACCTGAATATATGATGGCACCCAAGAGTAACAACAAAGTTTTGAAGATATTTAATAGTTTGTACTTTTAATAACTAAATATATTTAAAATTTTGTAGTTGATATGTCTGACTTTTAATAATTATGGAATATCACAAGATCTCCGCTGCCACCACAGAATTTAATCCTATAATTGTAATTTCTTTATTGAATTAGAAACTTAGATTTCATTGAATACAACTTTAGTTTACTTTTGCGCAGTCAGGGGGATAAAAGTAAGCAGGTACCTGCAATACGCACTACTAAGTCTTCAGGTTTCTGCAGAGTTTTACCCCAAAAATAAACTCATTGAATTTTTTTAATCACAAGAGAAATATTTATTCAAATTTTGACAGATTGCTCAAAGTAATAATAAATAATCTAGAATGGCATAGCACTAATAAAGATCAACATGGACATCATTTTCTTTGCACAGTGTATTTTTAGGTTACATAAAGAATGTAAGAACGTAAAATATTATAACATTATAACATGTATTCAGGGAAATACAGTATATATAATATATTGTATTTGCCTGAATACATGAGGGAGACTATTTCTTAAATATCTTATTAAAAAATGCAGGATGTCTTATATTCGCAGATAAGCCAGTCTATGTTTTAATAATGATTTTTCACATCAAAATTTAATATAGACATAAGCTGCAAAGGCAATAAGAACTATCAAATTTATATAATATCAAATTAGATTTGCAAATGTTTTCTTGGTATCCAACACAGATAAGCAGGATGATACAGACAAATATCTTTAAATGTCCAGTAAAGAGAGGATATCAAGTAGTAAAACTTCAGTAGTAAGTGAAATGCAACATGAAAATAAACTAGTTGAGCTACAAAGCCCAGCTCACTTTTGCCGACACTTACTAAACTAATGGTCTCTACAATTATATATCTGATTTGCACAATTTTCAAAAATTCAGAGTTAATTCAGTGGCCCCCACGTTTTGAAAAAGACAAGATAAACTTAGAAAGAATACAAAGGATGGCAACTAAGATTCCAATTCCTATGAAAAATCTACAATATCACAAAAGATGTAAAAAATTGGATTTGTTGATCCTAGAAAAGAGAAGAGAAAGAAGCGACTAAATAGAAACCTCTAAAATACTAAATAAGGTATATGATGCTTCATGTTTGGACACACTATTTACTTCAGCCTTGGATCCCAGACTACAAGGATGTTCAGCTAAGCTGATGAAAGAGAGAAAGAGCACTGGACTATAAACACATTTCATCACTAATCAGATCGTGATCCAGTGGATTGTACTGAGAAAAATACATTAGTGACTTTCAAATCCTGCCTAGACAATTATCATCAAACAAATCAAATTTCTCAGCAATCTATATAGTAACATGTCGACAATTTTGTATACTTGTTGCTGCTTCTGAATACATAAAATAAATTGCTTTAAATTTAAGTAGAAATTACACAGAAACTATTAGTTTTTCAAAAAATAAAGTACTTGACCTATTTTAGAGAGATTATTTTTTAGAAGAGATTTCATTAAAGAAAAAAATCTCCATTTTCAATATTCTTGTTTTGCAATGTTAATTTTTGGCAATTTTCAAATTCACCAAAAATAGGACCAGTACCAATTTTGTTTAATATTTTTTTATACATACAAGGAGAATATTTAAAGAAAAAAATTCGAATTTTGGGGAAAAGAGTCTATATAAATTGTCTATATTTCATGGAAAATTACATGAAAACTAATTTCAAAAACTCAACATGATTTTACTTCAAGATTGATTTCCTCAAGGAAAAATACCTTGTCTTTAATATTGTAGTAGAAGCAAAATGTTGAATACATTTTGAAGTAGTGCAACTTTAAAAAATCAGATTTGAGCAAAATTAGACCTGTGCCATTCTTTTAAGCATTCTCTACACTATCTGAGGACAATGCTTAATCCAAAAATTTGGAGCCATTTTGCAGAAAATTTTGAATACGTAGTTGATTCATGTTAAGTACTCCCAAAAATCAAAATATCCGTTTTAAACTTTCAAGGCCTCGAGTTTCTTCAGATCCCTCAAGAAAATTGGCAGGACGTTTTTGGCACTAGTGTTGACCAACGACAGACACAACGTGGTTTCGCTGTCAATCAATTTTCAGTATCAAGGACCCACAGATTTGGACTACATAACATGTTAGTGGGAGTAATTTACTACAACCAGAGAGACAATTTATCCACCGGTAACAAGGGAATATACTTGAAAGGTATCGGATGAAACGCTTAAGAATGTAAATTTAATACGCAAAACTCTCAAGAGGGGCCTGTAAAGACAGAGGATCACCTAGTATGAGAGGACGACTAGAAAGAAACTGATAATTATATATAAAGATGGTAGGGAAAAAAGAATGGTTTTAAGAAACAAGAGTATAGTGATCGCTCAGGCAAAAAGATTTAACCTTAACAAGACAATTTTCTTGTCAATTAGACATGCATATTTTTGTCCCCAGACATTTTAAGTGTTATCTAATGGGAAGACTTGAATTTATTTTGAACTATCGTTGAGAATTATGAAAGTATTATTAATATTTATAAAAAATAATTAAAATTGTAATAAGTCATATTAGTCTTTTGTTTTTAATGGATGTGATTTTATTGCTCTGCCTTTTCAACATACAGATGCAGCTGTGACAGTTCAAAGCTCACTCTTCCCAAAAAACAAGGATACACAAATAGAAGTTTCAAGTGCAAAAATTAAGTGCGAATTTATATTTAATTTATTTTCTTCTAAGTAACTTACAGTTTGTTTCAACTGCTAAAATTATACATACAAACCGCAAGTGACATAACCTATTATTGGAGAAAAAAGCAACAACTTAAAATCCAATGTATATCGTGTCAATACAGAAAATTAATGTTCACAGAATTTGGACTAATAATTGTTTTGGAAATTATCTTGTAAATGGCCGATTTCATTACTGATATAAATTACCAGAAATATTTACCTTTATTACCCATTCTCTTGTAGGTCCATGATAGCATAGGTTCCTCAATACTCTATGCAAGCGTGCTGTATTCAATTTGGGTTCATCCAAGAACAAAAGAACTAGAAGACATGCAAGAGCTTCATGATCTAAAAGCTGCCTGCCTCTCAATCTGAAAAAATGGAATTGCATTAATGACTAGTTCAACAATTTCAAAACACAAAGTTACTAATTAAAAGCTGAACTTGATACCCCAAATAATTTGCACATTCATGATAATAAATATTCCTATCATGAGAAAATGAGAATCTAATTATGCAAGATGATATGTATGTCAATGGTTTCTAAATTGAGCCTTATGTCAGCATCCATTTTCAATATGTAGAACAAGGAAATTAATGCACGTTTGGTTGCGTAGGCTTTCGCGGCCTGAGTTTATGTTGTCTAGGCTATCCGGGATGAGCTGGGTCACTGTCATGGTGGCTAACGAGGGCACAACAAGGGAACTCCCCCCCCTCACACTATCTCGCATATTCATGAAATTATTACCTCAACCCGTGGCTTGCGAGGGGCATAGCCGGGTGTGGATCTGGGCGTGTGTTCCAAGGATTCCACTGTGCCCGCTGGGGCACTGCATGAATTGCGTAACGTGCAGAACCGACCCTACCTGAAAAGAAATAAAATTCAAATAACACACGCATACAAAATAAAACAGATCCACAGACTTGGCACTGAAGTGTAAATTTCACAGTGGTTTTTTGCAATTAAAAACCTGGAAGCTGGGGATGCAGTTCTGGCTTCGGATACAGAACTATGACATACATAATAAAAAAGAACAGTGTCCAGTCTTGGGTCTGATAACTTTAGGCTACTGTAGAGTTTAATGTCACACGACACCAAAATCTAGTATTCACAAGTGTTTTTCGAGATTTAATAAAATATACATTGAACCTCATTACATAGTATAAACAACTACAAGAGGGCCTGAGGACAATAGAAAAGTTGTCAGAAGAGTGGTTGTTACCACTAAATAGAACCTAATGCAAGCTCTTGCACAGAATGAAAACCCCATGCTGCCTTATGTAACTGTAGGACACAGTATTAAATCAATGAAGATCTAAAATGATTTAGATAGATATTTATCATTTCTACAGGTAGGTTTATACAACCTGGTGGCAGAACACTACAATTTACATATTATAATTAGGAACATCAATACAATTAAACTTTAAATTAATTTAAGATGACAACAACAATAATAACAATAACAATAATAATATAAATATAACATTTGGTCGGGCCCCGTGGTGCAGACGGTTGCGGCAGTCGTCGTCTGTGCCGAGGAGGCTGCAGGTTCGAGTCCTGCGTAGACATGGTCGTATTTGTGATTTTCCTTTCACCCCTCATCATCAACCTATCATCTCATAATTCACACTTCAAGGCGTAACAACCTTGTTGTAATCCAAGGATACAGCTGAAAAAAGCTGATCCTGGAAGAATTACACACGTTAATTGTGTAACGTGGTCAGTAATGGCCTATATGCCAATAATAATAATAATAATAATAATAATAATAATAATAATAATAATAATAATAATAATATAACATTTGGGTGGTATGACACCCCCAAGACTTAAAATGGGAACAGCAAGTGGTATTTGTCACCAGAGAAGCTAATTCTACTAGTCACAATAATTTTTGAAGAAAGCCTTTGCCACACATAGCTTGATAAAAACATATGGGATATATGTTAGGCCCATAATGGATAATGCTAGTCTTATATGCCTTCCCAGAATAAAAAGGACATCACACTCTTGGAACAAACCCATAGGAGAATAACTAAAATCTCCCCAGAGCTATGATATTCGGGCTATCAAGAGAACCTGAAGAAGTTAAAATTAGATTCCTTGGAATAGAGAAGGGAACAAATCGACTCTCTAGAAACCGTTAACAATTTGAAGGTAGGGTAATGTTGAAGAGCTGGTTAGAGTACTTATTAGAGCTTGCGATGAATAACTGAGAGAACGCTAAGAGACTTCAAAGGAGAAAGAGCACATGAATCTTGGAGTGCACATTTTCAAGAATAGTGGTGAAGATGTGGAATTACCTGCCAGTTTCATGTCTGAATACAGATAGTGTGGAACATAATTTCTTGCCTGAATACAGATATTATTGAGAAGACATTCATGTCTGAATACAGATATTACTAAGAAGACATTCATGTCTGAATATAGATCGTGCAATTCTTTAATATTTGTAAGAACAGATGAATTCATCTGAGGTTTTAGGTTTCGGCAATTTGCCTAGGTCCTTGTGAATAGTGGTAACCACCTATAGATAGAAACATTAAACACAACATTAATGTTGGTGAACAAATGACACCAAAATTTGTCTTTTAAATTTGAATGAACCAATATGAAGAAAACAAGCATTTTACAGATAATTTGCGTTTTAATTTATGCTGGTTTAATGAAATCTTTTTAATGTGCATCTGTCGGGAAGATTTTAGAGCTGAGTTATAGATGACTTTATTTGCCTCTTGAAGTTCATTCAGAAGATTAGGGCAATCCTTTTGCCAGGCAGATGCTTCCAAGTCATTCAGTGCTGTTAGTGGAATGTGTTAATTTTTAACTCTTTTTCATTCTCTTGTATGTCATTGTCGTCGTCAACTTCTCTTTCTTTGGATTCCTGCAGCAGAACCTCTTTCCCCAACCCACGCAGGGATGTCATCATCAAAATGCATTAAATCTTCTGCAAGAAAATCAATACTTGCAATTGGAAAGAAATAAGAAATTTCATAGTTTTCTTCACTGTTACTAAAACTACTCTGTTCTCTGTTGTAAAAGCTGACTTTATGAAAACATTTCGTCACTGTCACAGGAAGGATGTTGTTCTTTGCTGAACTCCAGTTCACTGCATCCAGTATGTTTATCGATTTGCATAACTCAGTAACATCAGAACACTGGCAGCTTAATGATTAGCAATTGTATCACACAATTCTTGTAAAAGTACTTTAAGTTCGAAATCACACAACAGCCTAGAGGCTATGTAACTGATGTAGAGTTGGGAAGGAACCATACAAGTTTTACGTTAGATAAGATAATTCGGAGATGACCAGTGGCATTATCTAGAAACAGCAAGACCTTCCTGTTCAGTGCATTAATCTTCTTGTTAAACATACACAGTTAAACAAACAACAAATTTACATTTTCCTTCATTTCTGAACTACTTCAAATGCTTCAGCTTCAATTATTGACCCAGAAATAGACATACCTTTAGCTCTACTTACAAACTACTCATTCCCAAATGGTCACATTAAGGGACAATGCACACAGGAAAATGCTTTCTCTTTCCCCGAATTCCTTTTTAACTACTAATTCTTGATTCTGTTTTTAAGGTGTCATACATTTGAGTTTTCCCAACTTTGAATTATTTTTTATCAAAATCTTGACAGAAATGTTTCTTTGTTCGTGTTCTTGAATTAGTATAATTTTCTCACCATGAATTAAAATCTTTTCAATTTGCTGCCTGACATCACAAACACTTTATTAACATAACACCTGCAACTTGCCGAATTCAATAACAGTAAACATTTAGAACCACTGAACCCAAAGCACACATTAAAAGAACTAAGGAAGGATTTCTCTTCATGTCTCTCCTTCCTTCACATGAGCCTCTGAAGGTCCGTGCTATTAAAACAAACACACATAGAATTGAAAATATGATGTTCGTATGAGGGTAACTGAGAAAGTGAATGGATGAGCACAGCTCAGGATGTCTTGTGGTATGATTTCGCCAAACTTGTTGTACTAAAATTTTTTTCTACTTCCACATTAGATCGGTTTCTGGCTTATCCACTTTACTTTGCTTTTGAAATTTGCCCTTTCTGAGATTTTTTTTGGTGAAGGAAGGTTTCCACCTTATTCAGATTCCACCTTACTGTATAGTGTTATGAAATTAAATGAGATGTTAATTGAGAATAATCTACAACATTAAGCATTATCATTATATATGGCTGCTGCCACAATAAATGCAATAAAAAATTAATCTCCCAAAGCACATTATTGTAAATAATTGCATATTAACAAGACATGAAAAGTTTCAGGGATTATCTCCGCATTTTTTGTGGTTTTCAGCTCTAAATGAAATACAAAATTCATGTAGACAATACTTTTTACAGAACTTTTCAAAAAAAATTAATAGTTTTTTTTTTTTTAAAAAATGTACAAAAGTGTTTAGTTTTGATACAGTGATTAACAGTAGGATGGTTCTGGGATTATTTATCTTACAAATTCAGCCTTCTTTAAACAACAAAGAAACTTTAAGATTTGTATGTTACGTACCTGTGTTCCTTAAAATAGATGAAAGAGCACTGTTGTTATGACTCACATGACTAAAAAACCTTTCTTGCATGAGCTGACGATTTCGAGCTTCCCATTCACGACGAAGATTTTGTGCCTCTTGGGCCAAGTCTGGAGGGAGTACAGATATTTGTGAATCCTCCATGTCTGTTAAAATCTGGAATGTAAAGAGAAAAGCAAAAATTATAAAAATGAATTACATTGAACTTTCTATTCTGCATTCTCCAACTCTTCTATTCTCCAACCAACATACCAAATCAAAATAATGCTACTCTTTTAAGTAATAAAGAGTAATTATTCAGTGTCAAGAAGATTCTCTAGACAACACACAAAAACAATGTTTATGATTATAACATAACAGCTGTAATTAATGTTGATTTTCAATTTAGATTCTCTGCTATTTTAGAAATACTTATTCACCCTGTTCTTCTGCATTGGCAAATGATTGAAAGTTTCACAATTAAATTTATGATTAATGCTCTGTGCATACCGAGGCAACAGAATGCTTGCATTTTTAAGTTGCCCACACTGAAGAGGAATTCTCTTTTTCTTCTGAAGAGGATTATTCCTGCAGCTATTATTCCTCAGCAAGAAAGATAATAACGTGTTTCTTAGAAAATATCCTAGGCAGGCATTCAGTATAAAATCAACCATTACAGTGATATCTACTATTTATTGTGAACCAGACAATGTAACATCCTCTGTGCAATGATTCATCTGGAAACTGCACAAATAAATTTCTTTGTGTTTTTTGCTTCAAAAGACACAATGATTTCAGAAACTGCAGCCAGAATAGTATTTTGGATGTTTTGAATAATTGCCGGAGAAGCTCGTAGCTGAGGATGGCTATCAGTAGTCAAGTGTTTATTATTAAGATTTGTTATTGATGTGGCGTTTTGATGATTTTCCTTGGGTGGCAATTTTCGTGAGACAGTGGCCAAATATAGATGGTGATTTTTTTTGTGAGTCTTTTGTTGAACAATACCAGCCTGTGGTATTTCATTATGGTTTTCTCATTCTAAATTATTTTTGCAACATCTTCCACATCTACTATTTCGAGGATAATAGAGCAAACATTTTGATAACATTCTTGACTTTTTGCGTGTTGCCTATATGCTCACTGCACTCCCCCCCCCCCGGTAATCTGAAAATTAACCTAAAATAAAAAATAAAAAAAAAGAAGAATTATTGAGATTGAATTTAATAATGAAATCCAAAACATGATTTTCCCAAATCTTATAATTGAGAAAATCTGCAGAATGTTGCGATGAATTAGATGCTTTTATAGTGAGAAGCCAGTAGCTCATCTATGCACTCTGGAGAGGTAATTAGATTTCCGCTCATCAGCAAGCTGGAATGTTCAAAGGGGGAAGTCGTCCTCTAATTTGTTGGTATCATGCATACCAACTCTGTTTCCAGTTGGACGATGACTCCTTATGCCCAACCTGTGACCCATTGTTTGAAGATGTGGAGCACGTGATCTTCCATTGTCCACGATTCGTCGAGGAGAGGGAAGAACGACTCCTCCAGGTAGTGACTCCTGATACTATCATCACTTAGATGGTGTTCGAAAATAATTGGAGTGCGTAACCACCAATGCCGCAAAAGTTTTGAAGAAGCTTTTGTTAGAGGAGTGACTATGAAGGAGTTGCTGTGAGTATACCGTGACACCAGTTGACATAAACGATAAGCCGATCTGCCCTTCCCATGATGCAATGCCTGACGGCAGTTCCGCGGGAAGAGAATCTGAGGGGTTGTTAGAGGATAAGGAACAGACTAGCTGTGAATCCTACTCACAGCGGGGCGCGGGCCCTGCAGGTCTTTGGAAGATTTTCCCCTGCCCTCGTTAAACAAATATTCCCTCCGACACTGCTCGCCATGCATTGAAAACATATTGCAGGATGTTCGGCATACAGGGGGGATTAAATTGGGGAAGGCTAAAACAAACAATGTTACAAAAGAATGAGATTAAACGATGGGGAGAAGAAAAATGACTAGTGAAAGACAGGAATACTTGAGAGCCCTTCCTATATTCCCAGTGAGGACGAGAACCGACCCTCCTTGTCGGGCATTACATTATACAAGATGTGACACCTCCCGGGTTACAGGTTTCAGAAGCAAGTTTATAGCAGATATTACTTACAGCCTGTCTTAAAGATGGCTGAAGATTTTGGAAAAATGCTGCGGCATCTACAGGATCATTTGGGTTTGCTGTTGCTGCAGCCTGTCTTTGTTGTTCCATTCTTTGCTGTGCTAATACCTCCTCTTGTATGGCAGGTGGAAGAGCAGCAAGGAACTCTGGATTCACTTCTGTTACACTAGTTGGAGCCGTTTCACTTGATTGTTGAACAGCTCTTTGTCTCAGTCGCTGTAGTCTGAAACAACAATACATGTCTTAATTTGAATAATATCATTCCCTTATTTTGTATAAACTTTCAAAAATCAGCATTTGAAAAAAGGCTGAAGATTTATTTGTTAAGTTAACAGTTGTCAATGGTTTCGAAAATAGTACGGCCTTTTCTCTATTTAGTATAAATCTATACAGAAAGTTCAGACTAATGCTACAGATACCAGAATAGAGCACTGAACGTAGATCTGATAATGAGCAAGAACATATAAACTGTTTGTACAAAAGCAAATTCATAATATAGAAAACATTTTCTTCAGACACAGTGCACACACTTTACCAACTGTACTGTGCTCTGGTGCAGCGAGGATCTAATATCGGCTATTAACGGCCTCTGCCGGAAGCCAAACTTCTTTAGTCTCAGTGTAGTCACTAAAGTGAAGCAGCTGCACACAGTGCGAGTCTCAGGGTGACCATCTAGGAATCCCGAATACTAACAGTACTGAGTGCCAGGCTGATAGGGATAAAAGGCAATAACTTATGACAATGTATGTTAAAGGAGAATTACTTCACATTCAACGCCAACAATAGAAAGTTTTTAAGAAAATTCAGCAAGTAAAACAAAATTGTGAATTTCGAGCCACTTGTTGCATGCTGGTTACTGCATGGTAACTGCTATAACATACAGAATTATTCAAAATGATTGTCAGGGTTTCGTGATTTTTTTTTTTTTTAAAGACCTGGGGAAACAAGTACAATTATTATAGTTGCTGTGGTTCATAGACTAACTCTAGAAGTTTCGTTAAGCGATGTTCGAAGGTACCTCAGTTAACGTCAGATGGCAGTTACAGCAGTGTTTAAAAAATGGCAGTGAGTAGTAAGGAGAAAGCATTTTGTATTCATTGAGCATCATCAACATCAATTCATTACCATAATCCAGCACCCTTCTCGAATAATATATGGGAAGGGACCTCCTCGTGACAACTACATTCGCAGACAGTACGCAGGGTGATTTTTTTCCTAAGGGGATATGTTAGAGATAGTCTATATCACTCCTCAGCCGATGAATATTCGCCCATCAGAGCCAGCTTCCTAAGCATCACTACTGAGACGTTTGTCTATATTTGAGAAGAAGAGGACTATAGAGTGGAAATGTGT